ATTTTCTTGCTTCTTCGGTGTATTGTTCGAATCATCGACGGACTGCACAGAATTGACAAAAAAGGAGTAGCACATCTTTTTTTCATCATACCTTTGCCCTTGTGCGGTCCTTATCAGTCCGAGTTAGCTATTTTCCCAGAGCCATTGTACCGTATCCAGTTGATCTGAAGTTGAATTATCGAAACTGGTTTGTTCCCTTCTGCGTCTGCTTGCTGTATCAGACTTTGGCTTGGCACATTTGCTTTGCCCAACAAAGAATGGTCAGTCGAAACCTCTTTCGATAATGAGGTTATCCAGCACCTCTTTGCCAAAATGCCAACTGCTCAAGAAGACCCAAACCTGACCAAAATTTTACGACATCCCCAAGAATCAATTAGGTGGTTCCTCATGAATAAGGTTTAAGCGGACAGCTCAATACTTTAATCAAGTTGATTGGTCTGCCAGTCTTGCAGTGATGCAACAAAGACGCACTCAAATCGGAACGCGAATGTTGAAATGAAGTGGAGGACGCTCAGCTGTGTAGCGGCATACTAATGCATTGACAACTCCAATTGACTGAATATCAACTTACTGAGTGAGAGAACACGAGATGTCGTGATGAAAGCGTTCAGTGGTAAATATTGTCGTGTTGGTTCTGCCACAGTCTGAGAATATCAAGTAGGACTTCGAACCTCTCGTTTTATGATTAATGTGGTTTTTTTGTATCCTTGCCGTCTCTCTTCATCCACTCAGCACGCGTGCCACTCTATGAAGAGAACAACTTGACTGATGAGACCTTCTTCACTCTTTCTGTTTCCTGTTGTCTTCTTCGCACTTTCCGTGACAGGCGATTTTGTGGTTTATTTGGGAGACTCATCAACAATTTATTTACACTGAGTGAGATCAATCAACAATCTACACTGAGTGGGATCAATCAACAATTTACACTGAGTGAGATTCAATCAACAATTTACACTGAGTGAGATCAATCAACAATTTACACTGAGTGAGATCAATCAACAATTTACACTGAGTGAGATCAATCAACAATTTACACTCAGTAAGATCAATCAACAATTTTTCCGAAGGGGATTGGAAGGCTAACCTTCTCAAATTTTGAATAACGGCTGCCAACGCACATCTCAAAGCTACGCTCCTCCATCTCGTTAATCCATTCATGCGCGTCACTGATTAGATGATGAGGCATTTGGCTACCTTAACAGAGTAATACTTATGATTTGAGTGGATGTTCCATTTTCTCTTAGCACAATGCAATGGACCCCCTCTGAAGATCGTGAGCAAATTTGGAGAGTGTTTTTGTTGAAGACTCGGGAGTCACGGTGCTTCATGTTTGGCAACGATCATCACACTACACAAAAGTTCAGGGCACACACAGTTGATACTCTTCTACGCTCAAGCTGTTAAGGCTCTTCATCCGCATTCAGCTGAGAAACACAAAAATAAATTTAAAATCACAAAAACAGACTTACGAGATTAATTGCTTCATCTATGTTGAAAGGAACGCCAATCTTTTCCTCAGCAGTTTCCAAGATTCTATCAATATCGTCCAAGGTGGCGCTGGAAAAAATTTTGTAGACAAACGGGAGAATGTTGAACGAGAGAACCGGTATTCCTTCCTTCAACATGTGCCTGAACATGGCGATATCATGACATGGCATGTATTTCGTCATCTTTTGTAATTCTGGAATTCCCTCCCACGAAGCAAGTCGTTGGTTTCCAATCTTCGCACCGGACAGTCTACCTAGTTCGAAGTCAAGAAGAGCCACCCTTTCAAATTCCCTCTCCTCCTTCCATTCCGCCCCTTCCTCCAATTCTCCCAATACTCTTCTCTCCGTCCTCAATGACCGAACATTTGCCCATCTCACATCCCGATGAACAAATCCTTCTCTATGAAGGATTCGCAGACAGGAGGAAACAGCGCGGGCTGTTCGGATGAATTCTGTCTCCGAAAGAGGAAATCCTGGATCAGGCAAAAGCCCCATAGTAACAGAAAGACTCCCTTCTCGATCCAATTGAACATCACGAACGTCGAGTATATCCCGATCGCGTTCTCGCATGACAGCCTTGTACATTTGATGGACTGCGTGGAGATGAAATGACTCTGATTGAGGTGTAACTTTTTTAGCGGTCCGAGCACCCCTGTCAATCTCGACGATGTTTCCTTCATTTGTCCGACGTTCTGTCACCAGAGATATGGACAGCTTCGGCAGCCTTGGAATGAAAAAATGGATCAAAAAAATGGCCAAATTTATCATCCGTTTCTGGAACAGTTTTTCTTCGACTTTTGGATCTGGTGTTTTTTTGACTTCTGATGCTGAATGCGTTTCTTCAATTATATCTACGAATACTTCTGGACCTGTTTCTTGGAGTGTTTCTGTGACGTCTGAATCTGTTTCTTCAACTTCTGAATCCAGTGTTTCGAAGAGGGGTTCTGGATCCACTGATTTGTCAGCATGAAGAAGATACCAATGCCTTTCTTTTCCAAGAGTGATGATTCCCACTATGTTGTAATCATGGGCTATTCGCTTCAATAGAATCAAAGCTGTTTCTAAATCCAAATTCGTACTGTAGCGTTTGTCCTCCGTCATGAGCATTTTGATGCCGCCGATCGCCACTACACCATCTGGACGAATGTCGTCTGGCGTTTGATTGTCTTTCACATTTTGGTCTAAGTCAAACCGAATGCCATACCCTAAAACAAGCAACACCCGAAGCGGGTCGAAAAGAGAAATGTGGGTTCTAGGCGCTAGGGACACTTCCTGATGGAGTTTTGCGAGATTGGATAAACGCTAAACGTCTATCTAGAGCGTCAGTCAGCTCAGAACTGTCGAGTCGTTCATGAGTTGTAGATGGGATGTTGACGTCACAATTGAGAATTTCTTCAAATTTTTTTCTTGTCATGCGCAGTGGATTACTCCTCCCCATGATTCTTGACATTCTTCTTCGATCCAAGAGCTTCATGATTTCCACTCTTTCGTTGCACACAAATCCAGAAAACATTTCTCCAAAGCGTGTGCAATAGATGTAGAATTTTTTAATATTTTCTTGATACTCTGCCAAAGTCCCCAATTCGGCATTCAAAGTCTTCACTCGTTCATCCAAAGTCTTCACTCGTTCATCCAAAGTCTTCAATCGTGCATTGGCATTCAAGGCAACATCTTCATCATCTTCCCCCCTGATCATCCTGTTCATCATCGTGATAATGCTGTCTTTAATTTCATCTCTGGCGTCCTTAATTTCATCTTTGGCGTCCTTAACTTCATCTTTGGCGTCCTTAATTTCATCTTTGGCGTTTCTAACTTCGTTAATGCTGTCATTAATTTGACTCTCAATCTTCTTGAGCTTGTTCAATCGAGCTCTGAAACATTCTCGTGTCTCAACCAATTTAGAAAAATCATCAGACCACGTTCGGACACTTGGAAAATCAACCATAGGGAGGCAACTGGTACAGGTAATAAGTCAGCTTTGGTACAGGTCTGGGACATAAAAATAAAGGATTAACTGGATAATCAGAATCTACTTCATACACCCAAGCTGATTGTTGATTTGTTTGCAATGCTTTTGTAAACATATCTGCTGGATTGTCTACTCCATGATCATGATGTGATACTAAATGTCGAAGACGCTTCGTGAGGATATCGGCCACGTTGGAACTTTGTGTAGAACGATTCGTCCGAATTCGATTTGTTGGCGAATGAGAGCTGCAACGATGACTGTTGGCTTCTCTGAATTTTGAATCACTGGTTCGGTCGGTGAAGAGATGAGCGACTTGATGAGTTGAATGTTGTTCTAGCTCTTGAAGTAAATGTTGGGTCCAAATGAGATGTGTGGTGGCGTCTTCAACGGCAAACAGTTCTGAATTTGCGGAAGATGTTGCGCAACACGAGGATACTTGGATGATGTCCAGTTGACAAGATTTTCTCCATGAAAAATGACAAAGCCGCCTATCGGCTTGTAGTCAGTTTCCAAGTGACGCATCAGCGAAAGAGATAAGCGGTTTGAGCTTGTTGAGATTCTTGGAGACAAAGAAGTTGAGTTGAAGGTTTTTGGTGGATTTGAGATACCGTAGAATTTGAATTGCTGCTGACCAATGTTCTGTCTTCTTTGAAATTGTTGAAGATAATGAACAGAGAAAGGCGATGTCGGGTCGAGTACCTGATACCAGGAAGTTGAGAGCTCCGATGATTCCTCGGAAAGGTTGTGTTCTTGGAGATGAGGTTGAATCTGAGAAAGTGTGTTTGGTGTCATTGGAATAACTGCCGTATTGGAATCTTCCAGTTGGTATTTCTTCAGTAGCTTTTCAATGTAGTGCTCTTGTGAAATGGAGGCAATTCCTAGTTTCGGCTTGTATGTAACTCGTAAACCAAGAAATGACGAAGGTCACAAATTTGGCTCATTTTGAAAAATTTGCTGAGAAAATCCAGAATCTGTATTTGTCGGTGCTTAAAGCCCTTTTTTTCAAACCGCCAAGACGAAACGCCAAGATTTTATCATGGGGACTTTTATTTAGACAACTAGGAAGGGCATTCATTTGGATTAAAGAGAGGATTGTTCCATCTGGAACATTTGGCCTTGGCGCGAGAGCACGCCGCACAGAGTGGTGCGCTTTAACCGTCTTTCTTGCCATCTGGATACCCGTGTACGTCCTTCTTGTCTACGTGTGTCAAGCTGCCGGATGGGTGGGAGGAATGGGTGTGCAACGATCCCGTCACTGATCTTCTGTCCAAAGGACTTCAGCTGTGGAATAAGCGCGACCCATGGCTGGTCCCAAGAGTATTCAGAATTTGGGTCACTGCCACAACCGCAGCAGTAACTCCATTGCAACCCCTTCGAACGGCTCCTTAAGATCTCAGATTACGTGCCTCACTTCTCGTACTATAGCATCTCTCTATCAATGACGATTTACGAAATATGATTTGGACTTCAACATCAAATACATCCGCGTTGGTTGCAAAGCAAGAATACTCTGCCATTCCTATTTACCAGGACCAGCAGTTCATATGAAAAACTCCAAAATTGTGGGAGGACGGCTAAAACTCAAGGGTGTCGCGATATCAAAACATTCAAAAAAGAAGTCAAAATCCTCAGCTGAATCAGGATTGGATCCACCCCCCACCAACGTAGAGAGCCAGCAAGCACCTGAGCCTGGAAGTGGACGTCTTGTTACGACTGGCACGACTGTCCAGGGATTTGAGACTAAATTCAAGGAGGAGATCGAAGTGGGCGATGCAATTATTTTGTTTCATCCCTCATTGTTGATTGAGGAGGAGCGAATTGTTGTGGGAGTTCTATCGCAGCGCTCGCTTACGCTGCACGAAAAGTTCTCGAATGATATCGCGAGCACAACCGCTTATAAAATACGAAAGGATAGCACTTTGCTGCGTCAAAAAGCCGGGGAAGCTCTTGCAACGAACGAAGGAGCCTCATCAGGAAGTCAGACGACGCTCCAAGACGAGATTTCGCGGCAGTTACAGAAAAAATTAGACAATACCAGACAAACGTTTCGTTATCGTGAGAAAACCGGAATGTGGGGGTATCGCGTTGTTACTGGAGAAGCTGAGAAGAATTTAAGCGCAGAGGAATTGTTGGATATGCGTGTTAAGAAAATGGGCAGAGACAAATTCTGCTGGTAGTGAGAATTTTGATCCAGCTGATTCTTATCACTAGATTCCTGTGCTTTTTCTTGATCAACAACTCGACCTCAATTTGACTCCAATCGCGACTTCATATTGGCGTGAAAAACAAATGCACCAACAGAGCAGGTGGACGAAGGGGGTTAGTAATGGTTCATTCAATGCCCACTGGGGATCGAATTCCTCAACCAGTGAAAGGGAAGGAAACCGGGAAGACGAAGAGAAGCGAAAGGAAGAATGCAAGTCGGGCACTTGCACGCGATATGGAGTTCAACAATTTCTGATGAACTGGCGAAATGTCGATTGCGCTGATGTTGAGTCCGTTTTTGAGATCTTGATGAAGGTGCTTTGTCGTGGAGAGGCAAGTGGCAATGCATTTTATGTGAATTTACTGCTTCTCCATGCAGATTTCATGGGGTCTTTCAATGATGACTGATAGAACCGGAAGAAAACTTTGGAAGAAGAATACGAGGAATTGCACAATTCAGCTGCGCGTCAATTCGTTTGAAAAAGGAACCAATCGAGAGCACTCAAGAACAGAAACCAACGTTTATTCCACAAGCAACCAGATGGAAATTCTCTGTTATTTATCGCAGTAAGTCGATCTGTTTGTTTGAACAGATTTAATAATAGTCGATTGACGTCCATTTGTTTAGATTCACCCTTTGGCGTTTGGTTGAGCTCTGTGAGTCAATCGGTGCCGCCCTTGTTTCGATAATCCATCAAGATAATTGCAGCACGATGCATTTGGTTGCTGAAGCCCAAGGAATTCCTTCTACAATTTTGAAAGCTTCTTATTCAACGAACCAGATGCAACTCAGACGAGCACTTGATGAAACATTGTTCGCCACAACGCGCCTTCTTGACTTCATTCTTCTCCCGTATTTGCACTTCTCATCAATTGAGGCCATGAAGACTCCTTTTCGGCATCTGGAGCCTGGCAGCCTTCTCAACGCGTATGCTTCGATAAAACGCTCAACATCGGAACTTCTTTGGCAATCAAACGGTCGCTTGCATAGAAATCGACCTCATGCATCACTCGACTTCTCGTCCAAAGATTTTCAGCGAAGAAAAGCGGAGCTTCTGATTCCTGATCGACTCTTATTCTCCCCTCATGATGACATTCAACGAAAGACTTACTGCTGTCCTCAACTTGTATCCCTGATTGAGCGTGTGATGATCAGCGGATCTGGTTTGGGACTCACCCCTGATGGAATTTGGAATGCGGGTCTTCTCTTACGTTTAGCAATTTTTCAGCTCCTCCATGGAAATTCGCTTCTGGCGCTTTCTGCCCTCACCCAGTGCGTTTTCATCGCTGAGGTAGCTGTTACTACTTTCGAATGTCTCTTTCACTCCAATGGTCTCAGGGCGAGGGTCACACATACCAGAGTCGCTTGTTTCGATCCGTGGCATCCAAGAAATCTGAAATTGTTGCGTCAGATGATGAATTACTGTCATCTTCGATGGAGTTGAGTGAAGAGTTAATTTTGGATTTAGATCCAAGTTTGGGATTTCTTTATCTACTGAAAGCCAAGATCCTCATTAATCAAAACCGGGATTACGTTGCTGTCAGTCTGCAGTTTTTCGAAATCAGGAAATTCTTGTTTTCCAGGCTGCGCGTTTGTGTTCTGATTGGCTTCGACGCAGACAAACCGATACGGCTCTTTCTTCTCCTAACGAAACGATGTTTCAATCGCGAGTCCTGCATCTGCTTGGAGTTGCTCTTTTGGGACATTCGATTTTGTTTCCGATAAACTCAGAACGAAGGAAGTCGTTAACGCAAGCAGCATTGAAGGAGCTCTCAGTGAGTCTCCCATACTCGTAAATGCGATTTCTTTGTCGCCTCCCACTCGTAAATGTGATTTCTGTGAAGCCCTGTGCACCAATTTGTCTTGTAGACCGCCCTCACTCTGGATTCTAACAGTTGGAGCCTGCATTACCATCACGCCCTTTGTTTCGCCCACTTACATCGGTTCACCGAATGCACAATCGCTTCCCAAAATGGAATCAATCTTTATTCTGGATTCCCTGGTTTGTGGTTCTTACTCGCGAGTGTTGCATCTCCTCAAAACGTCTCATCTGAACGCTACGTGAAGTTTCAACGCTCCATCAGTTCGCTCGAATCTGGACTCCATTATTGTCAAGGGCATCCCCTCCTACTCCTGGCACTTCTGGATGTGATCATGAAATGTTCTCCTGGTACGAGCCTCGAGTTCGAATGCTTATTGAGTTTCAGTATTTTGTAAAGTTTGTAGGCGAGACTCCCATTCATTTCGTTTGTTTTCCATCAGAGTTCAACCAATTTCGCTATTTTGATCTTTTTCCTTCCTCCGCTCCAATTTCTTCTTCTTCTCCTCCACTCCTCGATCAAATTCTCGATTTTGCAGTCCTGCCAGTTCCCCATAATTTGCCTTCCTATTCTGATGAAATTCACTCCACCAACCACATCAACAAACGCATTTCCCTTTCGTTGGAACTTCTCGAGGTAAGAACATTCCACACAGCAGCCAAGACATCATTCTGCAAAACACTAATGCGCGTCGGTTTCCTCAGGGCTTCAAAGTTTTTGATCTTCTCCTTCACCAACTGCTTCGTCTTCCCGCTACCTCATCAGTCCCAGTCCCAAACCCGTCCCATCCCAATTTGCTCGACAGTCTCTATATTATCGATAGCACGTCTGATGCTCATTTGATCGCTTCTTTAGGAGGTTCAGAAATTTCAAGAGCATCATCGAAAAATCGACAAGCCATCAACCAACCCCATTCAAATAGCAGAAAGGCAGCAAAGCATATTGATTCATCTTCAAGTCTGTTTAGTCCCCAACTGATTCATGAAAAGTCTCTCGGTGGATTCATTCGGTCGGAACTGGCATCATCGCAATCAGCGAGTCAAACCCTCCCATCGATACTGGAACTCCTTCGAGACCGTTCTCTCACTGCAAAAAATCAGACAGATCCCTTCAAAGCAGGGAGGCACATTTCTCAGTGGACAATTTCAGACCCAACGTCTGGTTTGGATTCCATCTCGGTTCATTCTGTAGTGATCCTCATGGCAGATTTACTCTGTGATGTTGGACTCTTAGATCTCGCAAAACAAGTTCTATGCAGAGCACATAGACTGCTCCAGCTTGACAAAGCTTCAGTTCAATCTGCAGGTGAGAAGAAACATCAACTGCGATCTTCCACTCATTTGCAAACAGATTGGATCAGGTACGATTTTTCTCTTTTGAGGCTTGAATTTTGCCAAGCCGTAGAAGATTCTACAATCCAGGGTTCTCATCAGTCTCTCGCTCGCTTCTCTGATCTTCATCAACGGTTGGCTTCGATGAGCTTGATGAATCCTCTCTGTAGTCGCACTCTGATATTGAGGGCCGCAGTCTCTGTGATATTAGAGTACGTCGTCTCTGTATTCTGTTTTCTATCCTTTCTTCATCAGAGATTTTGGGACAGCATCAGCACTCGCGGAACAGTCTCTCGCAATTGACAGTTTTAGCCCTCTGGCCTTGCGGTTGCTTGCAGCGACGCAATTGAAACTTGGCCTCCAGGTTTGTGGAATTCGAAGGCTAGTAACGGAAATATAAAACTTTGGGTCGAAATGATTTCGAATATTTCTGAATTTTCTCAGGATGAAATGGTCCGCTCTGCGTCTGCTGCAGTGGAGGCTGAGAATCTACAACCACTTTTGTCGTACGATTGGCTTCCGATTGACGTTCCTTGAATTTGTGACGCTTTGGTGTCTCGCTTGATCGATTTTGATGTCCAGTGACACGGACGATGGAAGACGGTCCACCAAAAAGTCACAGGAGTCTGAATCTTACATGACCGTGGTTGCTAACTCACAAGATTTTGAGCACCATTCTGTTTCCTCTATGATTTGAATGACTAATCAACATCTGATGAATATTGTATTCAGTGAGAGAAATCAGACACACACAAGAATCCAGTAGTGAATCTAAGACGCGAAAATTCCTCAATAGATGATCGTGACAATTCACCTGTTTAGCAAGCATCAGTTCCTGCCACAGATACCCGAAATCCCTCCATCACCGCCAGTGAGTCGCTCCAAATCAAAACGTCCAGAAAGTCAAAAACAAATTTAAGTCAAATCGCGATCCGGACGACAAATTAAGCGCTATAGAGAAAGTGGCATCGTCACTTCTCATACCTTAGACAATCCCAACTTCTTTTATCCTTAGATGTGACATTCAACAATGCGATCCAAGGCCCAAACGCCCAAGACTGGATCAAAGCAATGGAAAGCGAGATGAACGCAATCCACCAAAACGACACGTGGACCCTGCAATCATTGCCCACTGGGAAAACACCACTACCCGTTTTCTGGGCATCAAAAGTGCGGGATCGCACGTTTTAAAGACTGGTGGTTTCCAGCAAATTCAAGGGCGAGACTTTGACGAAACATTCGCGCCACGGGTTTTGAAACTCGATCCCACGTGTCGCATGCAGAAGCCAACGTAACTGGATCGCTACCAGGAGAGCACCTGGTCCTGATCAGTGACATGCAGGTTGGATCTCAAGAGGAGATCCGGCATAGCAGCTAGCTTGGTGCCTCGGTGCACTGCACAACGCATCCTCCCATAGTCGACCGCCCCAAACTCGCTTGCCTTTTTCAGTTCCCTCGTTTTTGACACCACCACTTTTTTCTCAACGCTTGTCGTACTGAGAATGACACAAAGTGAGGCCGAGTTGCGATTCACGGACCAGTGTCGAGTTGAGGGAAGGACTGAATGTCTAGTTTGCGTTTTATTGCATCACAGACGAAATGCCAATAGAAAACGCTAACACAAAGCAAAACATCAGAATTCTATGAACAGCAGTGATCCATGAGTTAGAGATCATTCAGATTGATCTGACGCACTCTTATGAGAACGTTTTCAGCACTGGGGGAATTTATAGGCGTCACGCTCAAAATCGATTGAAAGAAAGCGGCAGCCAGTCCCCTGGCCGATGTTGGATCCTCAATCGAACACAAAGGGAATAAAT